CTATAGTATTAACAGTAAAATATATATTAGGACTATATTTTAAGAGACCTTTTTAGTTATTTGTATTGACTTACAATCTATTAGAAGAAAGTTATGTTTTGAATAAATATTTACCAGTTTATTGTCAGAGTATTTTAAATAATGAATTTCTTTTTTTTTTTTTTTGAGACTGAGTCTCGCTCTGTTGCCCAGGCTGGAGTGCAGTGGCACAGTCTCAGCCCAGTGCAAGCTCCGCCTCCCAGATTCACGCCATTCTCCTGCCTCAGCCTGCTGAGTAGCTGGGACTACAGGCGCCGGGCATGGCCACCATGCCCGGCTAATTTTTTCTATTTTTAGTAGTGTAATACTGAATAATGTATTTATTCACCGTGTAATAATGAATTTCTTAATTTTTAGGTAACAGTCCCTCAAATTCATTTTTCCTGTGTCACATTGACTTAGAGTCAATCTGAAGAAAATGTAATTGATATAATTTGTATCTGGATAGCATTAGCCATTAGTTGGTACCAATAATGGTTCCTTAAATCTAAGCAGGAAAATTAGTCTGAAAACAAAATTTAATAAATAGCTGTATATATGATACTGAATATTTTTGTTGATAGTACATTATATTGTCTTTGCTTATCTTGTGTAATTTATGAATACAACAAATTTGAAAGTACTATTTAATTAATGTCCCATCTGGTTTTGGATTGAGCCTCTAGTGATACTAAAATGTCATGATTGTTTACTTAAATGTTGTCTATTTTCTTCCTACCAGTTTCCCTGGACAGATCTAATTTATGCCTGTTGTCTCCATGCCATCTAGTTTAGGATTTGTCCCAAATTTTTAATGAAGTAATATCACTAATATTTGCATTAAAATAGCACAGTTAATTTGTAGACCTCCGCTTTGAAGTCTTCTAGTTTCTGCCATAATTTTGTCTAGTGGCATGTTAAGACACAAGTGCAGTGAACAGAGATTTCTTTTTAATACATGAGCCATTTACATCTGAAAGACTATATCTTTTTCCCACTCTTTCTGGATGTAACATAACTAACTTCTTCCTTTTAGAACAGCATGCAGGGTTTCTGCTGATAAGTGAAGTATACTCTGACAAAGCAGGTGGGAAAAGCTGTCTTTTGCTTTGCTGCAGGTGGGGAGATGAGTATTTAACAATGCTTCATTTGCTAGCAACTTGATACACCAGCAAGTGTTGCCATGGCCTATGAGATGTATGAAGCTCTAGGCTGCCAGTGGGTAAAATTAAAGGAAAACATGGAAAGTTAGAGGTTGGTTATAGGTGAAATATGTGCAGGAGTAAAGACTGAATAGTCCTGCCCTAGCTCATTAAAGCGAGTGGTGAAAGCACTCTTGCTACAGTAGTTTTGTCATTTATTGTATAGTGTAGGTCTAAAGTTTATTTTATTATTTGGCAGTTCTTTTTTTAACTTGTTATAAAATCATCAGCAATACATTTTTAAAAATGGAAGTGTACATTTAACAAAGAATGAAGTGCTAAATTTCCACTTAGTACTTAACATGCATAAAATATTTGTCGACATTTACCAACCACCATGAGAGTGCTAGGGATCTCACTGACCACACAACAACCAGAAGACACAACAATCTGCTACAAAGGATCAACATCCATTTAAAAAGCTAGTAGTTATTTTAAGATTATGCATTAAGATAATTTAATACGTACAGATGCAGAAGATGTTTATATAATTCTGTGTGAAACATGACCTCATTTAGATCAAATAACTTTTTGAAAATTAGTTTTTTACTTTTTTTCTATGTTTTCTTATGCACATATGAAAAATGAAACAATAGCTGTTAATGTGTTGGCTCCATTAGTGGAAAAAAGGCCCAGCACTGCTGGTTTCCAAATAGAAAATCAGTTAATTCCAAAAATAGACTTTTTCATTCAATGCATTTGTATATTTGTTTGGTCAGGGCTGCAAATGGGAACAAAGTAAAGCTTTTGGAGGTTTATTCTGTCAAAAATATTGCAAATGCTGTTGTAAATTAAAAAGCTCAACATTGAAGATAAAATTGTTTTTGATGAAAGGATGTTGTCATGGTAAAAATCAATGTTCTTATTAAATTAAGAAAACTATGGAAGAGAAATGTTTTGGGAATTGGTTGTTGTGCATGCAAACAAACTCTGCTTATTCAGTCAGTTGAAATAAAACCGTAGTTGTCAAATTTACTGATAGTATACACAGTTTGACCGAACTATAAAATTCTTGTGATGAAACTGATGTTGAAGAACCATTCTATAGCATAACAATACACACTGTCTTTAATGCATATTAGCAACAGAATTTTAGATCTATTATTTTGTGAAGAACCGCTTTGTAAATTAAGTTTATTATATTGGCTTAACATTTTTTATTGATAATTGTGTCTTTTGTATATTGTTTAAGTTTTGGTTCACAAATTGTTTGGATTATTTAAAATGTCACTGGAAAATGCCAAAAAATTTTACCTTTTGAAAAATTTTAGCAAATAGCAATTATTAGAAACAAATCTTGCAAACAGAAAGACTTTGAAAGTTTTCCCTGTATAGGCTAGGGAAGAAATGAATAGGTTAAATGGTGAGAGCTCAAGATTTAATCAAGAGATTGTCATTTGCACTATCTCACCTATCGTAAAGACTCTTTAGATGGAGCGCCTTTTTTTAATTAGAGAAATTTATATTGTGTAGAATGAAATGAAATTGAGAAGGCAGTTGGTTTTGTAGTATCTAAATTGATGAAATATTTTTAAAAGGATAAATAAAATAATTATTTGAAATTTTGTCAATATTTTAAAAACTTTTCGTTGACTACATGGGTGAAAAGTTAAATATTTGGGTTTGAAATATTTACAGTTTTTAACATAAGGATTGGGACTATTCTTGATTCAGTAGAATTTTCCCTCAGATTACATGGTTGTCCAGAAATACTGTAAAGAGGGTATTTTTTCCATTAAAAATATGGTCTACAGAGAAGAGTAAGTTCCAAATGTCAACAATTTTATAATTACTCACTGCAGAATTTAATTTTGAAAAAGATTGCAATTTAAAAAAAAAAAAACTTAGGCCATATAAAAATGTATTCTCCAGAGAAATAGCAATGCCTTGTTACTAGACACATACACTGAAGAAACTGATTAATGTATGTACATGTGTGGTGAATAATTCTGCTTATGATTTTAGTGTATCATTGTACACAAATATGTTTTTTGTCTTTTAGAAAGAATGTTATTTTTGAAAATACATTTTAATTAAACTTATAAGCTTACAATATAATACATTTTACAGTCAATAAAAATTTTTTAATTATATAATTTTCATTACTTTAAATGCCCTACCTAATTTTCACAATTGTTAGCATATTGAAAATGTTTAATTTCCTAAAAATTAATTTTGGGGATAAGAAGTATAAGCCAAATGTATCATTCTGCTAGCTCAGAAAAACATTGCAGTTAAGAGACTCTTTGATTTGTTTTAGTTGCAGATTTAAAATCTCAGCACTCAAATGGACTTTATCGTTAACCAAGTTGTAAATTCTAACTCCACATTTTAGAAAACTAATGATTAAGTGGATTTCCCAGGTTTTTCCAGCAAGTTAATTACACAGTTTAGTGTACCACGTTTTCTTTTAAGCTGGTTCTGAATTGTATTCCTCAGTTGGTGAATATTTTGCTAATTGTCTTTAAAAAATGAATCATAGAAATTTTCTTATCTGTACTTGAACCAACATGGTCTAGCAATTAGTGAATATCAATTGTTGGTACCCAAATTCAGAATAGCTCTATTAACATTTTCACTTGTATTTTTTATAATTCTGCTTTAATAAAACTAGGTTAATCCCTTTTAAATACCCTGCTACTGAAATAAGGTTGCTTTCTATCAAATCAATTATCTTAAGCAATTATCATAAAAGAGTTTACCACACCATTTCTGTACTTTGACTTATTGTTCTAGAATTGTCTTTACTCTGCCTAACTTGATTGATTTTATTTTTTATCTGCTTCTAATGTGCTTAAAATCTTCTAATCTAATGTAAATGATTTAGTGTTTCTCAGTTTATTTTTCCCATGTATTATGAATTCTATTTGGCTTATAGTTAAAATTGTACACGTGTAGCCTCATTAAAACTATGCTTTTTCAATAAAACAACTGTAGTTTAAAATACAAACCTATTTTGTTAACATTTCAACTTTGGTTTAATTATTATTAAAATTATTTCAATATATGTTAATGTAGTACATTCAAAAATTGACTTAGGAAGTCTTATTATGGTGTAAAAGCTACTATAATAAGTTGTTCCCTTACATAAATAAATAAATGACCAATATTACTGGAGGCTATAAGCAGCATGGGGGAAAAATGGAAGAAGTCTTTTATCCTAGTTTTTAGAGGGCATCAGCAGCTTGCTTTTATGAAAAAGTAACAGCTAAATGCACTGCAAATAATTTGCAGTAATCCAGTTCAGTGATTCATGTGTCTGCTTTAATGGGTCATAATTCAGGGTAAAGTAACTGAATGCAGTCAGAGTGCAGACACTGCTTATGCCAGGGACAGTATCTCTTCATAAAACACACCTCAGGAGAAGCAGTTTGCCAGCCCCCTAATACTCTCTGATGTTTTGATGTCCTGCATATTTTTCCGATTAAGTTTTGAGTGCCATGTTTTTAGTTGTATTTCCACATTCATTATTCTCACGTAGACCCTTCAGCGGGTTTGCCATATATGATTATTTTTTTAATGATGCCTTTCTTTCCACTTCAGCAGTTTAATAATCTAGCACATGGCTGCTTCTCAATACTCAGCATTCACCTACACAGAAGAGGACATGTGCTTTGGCTTCAAAATTCCATTTGCAGCATTAGAAATGCATATTCCCTACGGAACAACATTTGTTTGACATAACCATTCATTTTTATTACCTCTTTAAATATGTTTATCCAGAGTTATCAATAATCATAAATAACTGTATTCTCATCTTGATCTGTTTTTTTCCAACAGACAAAATTGCTTACCCAGTACATATTAAATCTCGGCAAGTATGATCAAAACTACGACATCAGAGACCGTACAAGATTTATTAGGCAGCTTATTGTTCCGAATGAAAAGAGTGGAGCTTTAAGTAAATATGCCAAAAAAATATTCCTAGCACAAAAGCCTGCACCACTGCTTGAGTCTCCTTTTAAAGGTATTATCCGAATATAACTACAAAATATATGTTATCTAAAAAATTATGACAGGATGTCACCATTTCTAATGTGCTTAAAATTTATCTCTTAGGAAATATAGATGATTCACATATATAAATATATAAAAACAATGTGCTTTTTACTCATCTGTTCTCAAAAACAAGTTTTATATTAAAGTTTATATTTTCGTAGACCTTATTTACCTAAATAATTTTAAGTATTCTGACTTTATTCTAACATTTAAACTAGGCAATAGATGAAAACCATGTTATTCTTATAAACAATGACTTCATTTATCTTTTAAATAGTAATATTATATTATAATAATATATATTATAATAATATTATAAGAAATATTATTCCTTTTAATAGTTATTAAGTAAATATTCTGTGTACGCTAATATCAGTTTTGCTAGGAGGAATTATTTTATTAAAAATATCTCTTTATATTTAAACTGGTTTTTCAAAGAGGGAAGTGGACTTATGTGTCCCAGCTTTTTAAAAGGGCTAATTAAGTATTTTACCACCTTACAAGTAGCCATTCCACTTGGAATCAAATAATTATATACCTTGGTTTTCATATTGTTTTCTTATTTAATGTTGTCAAGCGATAAAAAGCAATTCAGTTTTGTAGAAAAACTATTAAAATTCTGGATGTGTTTGTGCCAAGACATGTATATGGATTGTTTAACTGTGCTGTCATTCTTAATATTCACAGTAAAGTAATTTTTAGAGAAGCTACATTTCAGAGCAACACCTCTAAACACACTGACTGATTAGCTTTTTTATTGACCATTATGGGGGAGATTATTGTAATCTATGGACTGAAATCAGTTTTTTGACCTATGAAGAGCTTCCTGGTTTATATTTATTCCTTGACATTTGAGGTAATATGCCAATTACCTTGAGCTCTGATTATGATTGTTCTCTGTTACATACAGCTCATATTGTTTATTTTATATTTTTCCCTATTTTTAATAGATAGAGATCATTTCCAGCTTGGCACCTTATCTCATACTCTCAACATTAAAGCTACTGGGTACCTGGAATTATCTAATTGGCCAGAGGTGGCGCCCGACCCATCAGTTCGAAATGTAGAAGTAATAGAGTTGGTAAGTGGACCTTTCTGATATTAATTTTGTTAAAGCAGTGGAAGACTCTGGGATAACTATTGTTTTCTATAAAAGCTTTTTTGGAGAGTTGAAAATTGTTCTAGTATTTCTAAATGTAATATGTTAGATATACCTTACCTTTATAGCAACTAAATATTATAGTATTCCTATGCCACTGTACATGTACTGTTCCTTTTCTTCAAGGAAATAGAGAACTGAATTCTCTGCATCAATGCCACCCACATTTGTGCTATTGCGTTTGTAGCTGCGTAGATGCAATTTCTAAGGTATTTAGTTTCATTAGATCAAGTTTTTTCTACTTTGTTTAGATATTTGTAAGCTTCCTGACAATATCTTTCTGAATAATTTTTGCTGTTCTCTTTCAGAAAAAACCACACAAAGTGTTCTTCTAGATTTTCTGACGAACCATTTTTAAGTGAAGCCTGAACATAAATAGGGAGCATTGTGTACCAAAAATGTCCTTTGACAAGGTCACAAAGTGAATAATATGGTGCTTTCTCATTAAAAAATTGCTATATAAATACTCTTTTTATCAATCTTTAAAAAAAATGCTGGCCATTGAGATAAAATAATTAACATTCTTTTCTAATATTATCTGTTTCTTTCTCATACAAACAAGAAAAATAAGGAGAGAGGCCTTCCAGTTGTATGTAGCAATTATGCAAAATATATTTAATACTTTAAAATGTGGAGTTAACAAAAAAAGCAGTTAAGAATTATATTCTGGATACTTTTGTGGTGGAAAAGATACATTGAATTAGGATTCAGATAACTGGAGTTCTTTATTAATTCCTGTGGGAAAGTGAGTTAACCTCCTTGCTCTTAACTTTTCTGTATACAGTGGAAGAAAACCTTTATTACTTTAATAAATAGAATTTCTATAATGATCATGGCCATGTAATTTGATTCCTCTGAGAAATATTGTTTCTCTTAACCACTCCAACTTATCCTGGCTTTGAAGCATGGCCAGAATTAACAATAGCACCATTTAGGAACCTGACTGTGTATGGTGATAATGTTTTACAGAAACTATCTTGTTTAAACCTAATTCTGATCGGAAGTGATGGTTATTGTTATTCCCACTTTGCAGACAAGGAAGCCAAGTCTTAGAGAACTTAAGTGAATTGCCTAAGTTCACATGGCTAGTAAGTGATAGAACCATATTCCAACCCAGGTCCGAGTTCATTGTCCATGCTGTTACTGTATTTTATTATGTAATATGATATAAACCTGAGCTTGTTTGCAAATCTGTATTATCCTTAGTACTTAGCACCGTTATTTTTATGTTGTGACAAATGATCTGTACTTAGAGACGGCCAAAAATTTGTAACAGTAGAAATATGTAAAAATATGAGAAGCAATTACATGTCTACCCCTCCTTGAAGCTAAGTTTGTTGATTTTTCACTGAAATCTGCATACTCTTAAGTACTCTTCAAAAGAGTTGCCTTATTTATGCAATTATTTTAAAATTTTTATTTTTATTTTATTTTATTTATTTATTTATTTTTTTTGAGACAGAGTCTTGCTCTGTCACCCAGGCTGGAGTGCAGGGGCCTGATCTTGGCTCACTGCGACGTCCGCCTCCTGGGTTCAAGTGATTCTCCTGCCTTAGCTTCCCAAGTAGCTGAGATTACAAGCACATGCCACCATGCTTGGCTAATTTTTGTATATTTAGTAGAGATGGGGTTTCGCCATGTTGGCCAGGCTGGTCTCAAACTCCTGACCTCAAATGATCTGCCCACCTCAGCTTACCAAAGTGCTGGGATTACAGGTGTGAGCCACCGTGCCCAGCCTAATTGTGCAACTTTTTATCAGATATTAGAATATAAAGAGAGTGTTGTTATGGTTCTTCCTACGGACATACTTTCTTTCCTAATTCCTTATTATGCTTGTTTGTTGTTTTTATGGTTCTTTTTTTTCTTTTTCATTATGGGGTACATGATGTTTTAGCCCAAGTAGAGCCATCCTTTTATCCTTCCCCTACTTCTGCCTTGTCTCTGCCTCCTTGCTGCCCCCACCCACCAAAAAGCATTATCTTCTCAGAGTTGATAGCAATGCTATGCAATTTAATTTGGTCTCAGCAGTATTCTTTATTGGCTGATAGATTGGTTTGTTGGCTGGCTTCTTCCATTTTCATGTGCTTTTCTAAGCATTAACTACCTTATAGGGACAGTACTTAAATATAACATATTATGTTCATTTCACCTATCCAATTCAACAGAGACAAATTAATTTCTTTTTTCATTTTGCTGATTACATTTATGAAATTAATAATTGGTAACTTACGGCGAATCATTATAACTGATGGAACATGGTTTGATAAAACTGTCACTGTTGATGCCATGCAGAAAACAACTTCAATCTATTGGACTCTGAGACAATTGGTTTAAAATTGTACTATGAGGGACACAGTTAAGTATAAAAATAATATAGATAGTTTTATTTTTAAATGCAGCTACAATACAAAAAATAATGTCCGTATTATCTTTCTTGTCTCTCACTCTACTTCATCTCCCTTCCAAGTCATGTCACTGTATTTCATGCACATCATATACTGTGTTATTCTAGTTTTCCTGTAAAGTGATCTTACAGGGTCAAGTCTTGTAACTGTGAAATATAACTTAGTAAGAAAAATGGCCTAGGTTTAGATAATCTGATATTTTAATCAAAACGACAGGGAACCTAGTCAGATTGACAGGAGAAGTCACTTTGAATTACACACCACCATTTCCAGGATATAGAATATAATATATATTTATATTATGATCCCAGTAAGTTTTGAAGATCCTTAGTTAATAATTTATTTGCTTAGTTCTAGAAAGTCTTTTCTTTTCTACTTACAGAAAGACCGCCTTCTGCATATGAAGAGTATTTTGCTTTATAAACAGTCTGTCAATATTTTATCCTTCATAGGAACTTTCAAATTAGCATCTATGTTCTCTTCTTTTCTTTTCTCTATTATTCCTTTTGCTTAGAATGATAATGTGGTCCTTTAGTCATAAAGGACCACAATAAAAATTAAAATATTTTTATTGTTTGCCTTTGGCCTTTTAAAACCTGAAACTCCATAGAGTTCATGGCCATGTCAAGAAAAAATGCACATTTGAGCATAGGAGCCTGGTTTTCTGAAATTGTTGATTTAGTGTTATTAAATTAATCCTTGAAACTTTTTATCAGACCTCAGAGAAATATGTTTGGATTTAAGAAAAATACGGACTTCAGAGTTTACCAAAAATAGGAGAGCTTGTTTATAGAATTCTATCTTTGTAGACAGAAGCATTTTAAATACATATAAAAGAAAGCCATACTGCTGATCTTATATAAGCATCTTATTCAAATATATTCAAGTAATTTTTACTCATTAATTTGCTGTTACTGTCCTGTTAGTAATTTTCCAGGTTAGTGAAGCTTCTCTTTTTAGGCAACATACCTTAAGCCCTCTAGATCAGTGGTTTTATTCTTATTTGTTTTTATTTATTTATTTATTTATTTTGAGACATGGTTTTGCTCTGTCACCCAGGCTGGAGTGCAGTGGTGCAATCATAGCTCACTGCAGCCTCAAACTCCTGGGCTCAAGCCATCCTGCTGCCTCAGCTCCCAAAGTGCTGAGAGTACAGGCATGAGCCACATCACCTGGCCTTAGGCTAGTGGCTTTTAAATGTAGCTGCACATTATAATCATATGGAGATTTTTAAACAAAACACAACTAGGTCAGACGTGTGCACCAGACTAATTAAATTAGAATTTCAAGAGGCGAACCCAGGTATTCTTTTTTTAGTATTAATATTTTTATTGTTTGTATTAACATTTAAAAACTATTCTTAGGTGATTCTATTGTACATTCAGTGCTGAGAAACATTCTTGAATAAGAAATTCTGTCATGCTCTAGATTCCTTTACAACAAAATATGTACTCTAGCAAAGACTTGCACATAGTAAAAACTTAAAAGATACAATAAATAAATGAGTCTCAACTATTTTAATCTTCTCGGAAGTATACATTTCCCTGCTCTTTAACAAATCATATATGAAGCATGATTTAATTTTTTCTTGACGAATCAAGGCCGTGACTATAAAAGCAAACTAACACACTGTATTGAAGTGATTAAAGGGGCTAATATTAGTAAATGATATTACTAATACAATATTTAGTAAACACTAAAATCAGTATTTTTCTTAAGCATATTTCTGAATTTAATATTGAAATCTTTAAGAGGCTAATAAATATAATTAGTATTTATTGTGTCAGCCACACTTAAAATTGAACATAATAGGCCGGGCGTGGTGGCTCACGCCTATAATCCCAGCACTTTGGGAGGTCAAGGCAGGCAGATCACCTGAGGTCAGGAGTTCAAGACCAGCCTGGCCAACATAGTGAAACCCCGTCTCTACTAAAAATATAAAAATTAGCCGGGTGTGACGGCACGTTCTTGTGGTCCCGGCTACTTGGGATGCTGAGGCAGAACAGTCACTTAAACCTGGGAGGCAGAGGTTGCAGTGCGCCGAGATCGTGGCACTACTCCAGCCTGGGCAACAAAGTGAGACTCCATCTCAAAAAAAAAAAAAATTGCGCAAAATATTTTAAGTTCCCTGCTCTCCAGAAACTTACGTTCTACCAGGGATAGACCAACAGTTAAAAAAACAAGTAGATTGTATAGTATGTTAAAAAGTAATACATGCTGTGATTAAAAAAAAACAACAACCACCACCACAAAAAAAAAAAAAAAAAAAAGCGTGGCGGGGAATGGTGTTGGAAGTGCCAAGAGCTAGGGTGAAGGCCCTAAACTGGGAGCATGCCTGGGACATTTGGAGGAGCAGTAAGGCATGGCCAGAGCATATCAGGCAAGAGGGTGAGCAGCAAGAGGTCAGAGAGGCAGGCGACGGGGACAGTCATGGAGGGGCAGTCATGAAAGGATGGTTGTGTCAGGCTATGCAGACTGTTGTAGGGACTTCGGCTTTTTCTCTGAGTAAAATGGGGAGCCACTGCAGGGTTTCAGGCCAAAAAGGAGCTTGATCTGATTTAGGTTTTAATAGAATCATTCTAGATGCTGTGTTTTGCAAAGTTTGTTTGCTGGGGGCAGGGTGGAGGGGCAGTAGAAGCAAGGTAACGAGTAGTCCAGGAGAGAAGCATGGGTCAGACTAGGGTAGCTATAGGATTTCTTGATGGCTGAGATGTTTAGGATACGAGAAAAAGAGAGAAGTCAAGGATTACTCCAGGATTTAGGCTGTTGAGATGGTCAGGGCAATTTATTGCCTACACTAAATATTTTCTTTTTTTCTTTTTTTTTTTTCTCTCTTTTCCTTCAGTGTCAAGCTATGAACTTGTGTTTGTTATTGCCGTTACTGTATCTGCTTCTAGTTTTGCTCACTTATTTTAGGATATACTACTTTTGTTTAAATCTTCTGTGGGCCAACAAACACAAAAGTTTTAAAGATTGTATATTTGAAATAAGATTGTTGGTTTAACATAGGGGCTCTGAGTGAGAGTTTGTGCTGCTGTATTTAGCAGTAAAGTGAATCAGCCTTAATGCCAGGACTTCTAACAGTTGCATTCTCTGTTGAGGCCATAAGCTTGCTTTTGAATTTGGTTATGTTCTTAATGATTAAGTTTGCCAGAACTCTAAATCTCTGAATGAGAATTCATTTATATTTACTTTATTTGTTTAAACAGGCAAAAGAATGGACCCCAGCGGGAAAAGCAAAGCAAGAGAATTCTGCTAAGAAGTTTTATTCTGAATCTGAGGAAGAGGAGGACTCTTCTGATAGTAGCAGTGACAGTGGTGGGTTTTATAATTTATTGGCATGTATTATTTACATAGTAGATTACATTCTATATCTCAGAAACAAGGCCTGATCCATAATATTCAGCAGGTGGTTTTAAGTGAAGTTTGTATTATCAAAATAATCCCTTTCATTTATATATCGCTGTTTACTTTTCAAGGTAATTTTTAATTACTAAATTCTCTTTTTACTTTACAATGTCTCTTGGACAATAGCTAATACATTGGTATAGCTGAAACAGGAACTCATACTATTCTGAATTCTAAACAATAATGCCTATTATATCTATTGAAAAACATGATTTTACACTTGATAAACTTTTAGTGGAGTCTTTAAAAGTAACTTTCTTTTATAAAAATGTAAAGTTTATTTTATACCTTGAAGAGTCTTTTTCTCTTTCATTTTATACTCATCTCTTTCTGTGAACTTCCATAGAGATAAAGCTAAAATTATTGTCTCTATATACTATAAAAAAATCAAACTAAAGATTGAGAGTAACTGTATGCAGTGAAAAGAATGCTTAATAGGAAGGATTTAGAAACCCTGGGTTTTACCTGTGCAAATTGAAGAAGGCACCTACTTTTCTCTATATCAGATAAATGAAGGGGTAGAGTTAAATATTTCTTAAAGTCCCTTCATTGCTAAAATTCTGTGAGTGATTTGCCTAATGAAAAATATATTGGAGTCACTTTCTGATGCTCTTATTAACACTTAACCTAATAGGCAAGTCTGCCCCAAGACCAAATGATACCCAACTTTCTCTAAAATCTTATTCCTTGGAGAACCAGGGCCCGTCACTCTTACTTGGTTATCTACTACCCAACTCTAAGGTAATTCACTCTCTTTTCTCTGTCTTCCTTATCAAAAATCTTTGTTTTTAATATCTGATAAATTAATCTGTGATACATTACCTTCTGAAGTAATCAACTGAAAAGTAGAGAAATAACTCAATTGAGAAAGTAGATATTAAAAAATGTGGAATTTCAGGAGTAATGTAGACCTGTGAGAATTATCTGTGTAATTAATCATGTACTTCTTCATTTTGTAGAATTACATATAGATATTTGTCTTCATTATATTTATTCACTAGCCCATGCCTATTCATAGGCTGACCATTTTTAATACATATACGAAATATTCCATTAACATTACAGCTTTTCATGAGTTTGTCTGAATACATATAATAATGAGTCATGTGGCAGGAGTTCTACTGTAGCTGCCAGAGGAAAAAAGAAAACTTTTCTTGCTAGAAGTTATGAGATTGGCTGGGCGTGGTGGCTCACGCCTGTAATCCCAGCACTTTGGGAGGCTGAGACAGGCGGATCACAAGGTCAGGAGATTGAGACCATACTGGCTAACACGGTGAAACCCCGTCTCTACTAAAAATACAAAAAATTAGCCGGGCGTGGTGGCACATGCCTGTAATCCCAGCTACTCAGGAGACTGAGGCAGGAGAATGGTGTGAACCCAGGAGGCGGAGGTTACAGTGAGCCGTGATCATGCCACTACACTCCAGCCTGGGCAACAGAGCGAGACTCCATCTCAAAAAACAAACAAACAAACAAACAAAAAAACGTTATAAGATTGTGTTTTCCAGGTAGCAAGTATTTTTGAGAATAAACTAATTTTCTCTAAGATTTTACTGACTCGAAAATTTAAATAATGGTGCCTGAAGTCAGCTGGCCCCAGATTCGTGTTGCAGTCCCATGTGATGACATGAGAGAGTAACTTAGATGCTGTAATTTCTTTTCATCGTTTATAGCATAAGCCAGTTATCTGACTTAATATGTATGTGTGTGTAACTTGGATATTGCCACAAATTTAAAATGTCTTTGTTTAGTAGCTTTATTTTAGTAAAATAAACTTTCCTGTTTGTAAATGATGACAATGATGAGCACCTTAACCTGTGGCAGACCCTGTAGTGTTCTAATCACCTTTATATGTTTCAAATCATTTAATCTTCAGAACAACTCTGAAAAGTAACTAGTATTATCCCCATTTGCCGAAAAGGAAACCAAGACCCAGAGAAGTTGAATAACTTGATCAGTTTTACAACTGGCAAGTAGCAGAGCCAGGATCTGAATCCGAACACTAACTTGATAACCCATGCTTGTACCCCTTGCAAGCCATCTTGAAAGAATACAGGCACTCCTAGCTTTTCACTGTGATGGACCTTCCTGATGTTGGTGTTATTTAACCATTAGAATGTTTAATTAAAGGTTGTGTTCCTGCCTAAGAGGGCTTTGTTACTTAGATCACAGGCAGGGCAACAGTTTGTCCTTTTGTCTAGGACACAACTCTGTAGTTATAGTCATTTTAAATAGTAAAAAATACACATATATTTTTCATGTGTTCTCTTCTGCAGAGAGTCCTAGCATACCATAATTTATACATAAAACATTTAAAAGTGTAATTCCTCAATGTAACTTGATCATCTCTTTGACCTATGGAAAACTCCTTTACTAGCTCAAATAAGTAATAACTCTTTAATTAGTCATTTTGCCTATTGTCTTTGAATTTGGAAGTTTTTCCAGGTGATTTGAATGGCTCATTTTCCTCTCAAAATTTGTTCCTAAGAAGATTAAACTGTTGCCTTCTTTTACTCTAAATAGAATTTCCCATTACAAGCAGAAGAATTTAAAATTATTTCTTTAGCCTTACATCAATCTTTATGTAATTCTTTAAAAGAAAGTTTTTGACAAAGCTATATACTTTGGGGTTTGAAAAGTGAGATTCCCTCAAATTTGGTTTACTTGGTTCATCTTTGCTTAGCTTTTCTCTACTCATTGTCAGAGCATCCTCTGTCTGCCTCCCTCCAAACTCACTGTGCTAAAGGAATCCATAGAGCTGAAAGAATGGGGTATGGGAATGAAATGTTAAACACGTGGTATCCACTGAACTAAAATTCAACATCTGGTTTCATTTGTGATGAATATTGACAGTTACAGGTGTCCGTGTGTCTAATTAAATGACTATAAATCTAAGAACATCTGGTTCTGTTTTTCAGAGAGTGAATCTGGAAGTGAAAGTGGAGAGCAAGGCGAAAGTGGGGAGGAAGGAGACAGCAATGAGGACAGCAGTGAGGACTCCTCCAGTGAGCAGGACAGTGAGAGTGGAAGGGAGTCAGGCCTAGAAAACAAAAGAACAGCCAAGAGGAACTCGAAAGCCAAAGGAAAAAGGTAATGTATTTTGTCAGAATTTCCTTCAAAAAATATTCTGTGAAAGTTTGCCCCAGGCAGATGTTTCTTGTTAATCAAAAAATGATGAGAGAAAAGAAGTGTGTATTTTTTTCCCAAACAGATATTAAATCTTTTTAAAATTAAAGTGCTAGTTGTTCACATTATTTTCCTACTTGTAATGCTTAGCTTTCATTTTGAACTTGAACATATCTTGGGGTTACATTTTGAAAATTGGTGTAACCTTGGAAGGCTGAGTTAAGTGATCAAGCAATAGGTATGAAACACTTAATTACCTTTTGTAGCAATTTTGCTGAGGGCTAAAATTAAATCCTTCAACACTTTGCCATTATGTAACCAAGACAATTGATTTTTCTAAATAATGTTATATTAAAAAGATTATGATCCAAATATTAGAGTCAAGGGCTGTGAAGGAAGACGGTCATAAGAGCTTTAAGTGTTAGCACTTTTTAAGATCTCCCATTATCAACAACATTATCATGTATTAAAGTGTCATTAAAATTTTGAGTAATTGGGGCTAATATCTTGGATTGTGCAACTCTGTTTTCCCCATTGCTGTCAGTGAGTGGCCTCTGCCGACATGATGGTCCTTTCCCCAGGAGCCTGCTGCCCGCTCACTTGATGAGCTTGCAGCTCGGCTCAGTCGTGGCTGACAGCACTGATTGGGGCGCAGTACGCTCTCTGCTCCTTTTATTACAGACAGTAATTAAAGCAGCTCGCCCTGCCACTTCCATAACAAACACAGCATAATGCCCTAATTATGACTTTATTAATTTAAGTCAGGATTTAATGATTTTAAAAGTGATTTATATTGTTTTTCCTGTTCAGAACAAATGAAATCTGTAGGTTAAATTAATACAGGCTTTTCATCATTGCAAAGTTAGAAACCTAGTTACCAGTAAATTCTTTTCATTAGATTAACATCTGAAACTCTAAGCAGTAAGGTAAACAATAATTACCATCAAAATTGAGTGATGCATAATAAAATAACACTTTTACTTTTAAAATCTTATCTTAAAAGCTAGAAGTTAAATATATTTAGAATCATTCACTTGTTGCAGCAAAGGAGCTACTTGGTTTATAATAGCCTTGTCTTTGAGAGAAATCCTGTACTTCTGGTTTAATATCAGAATATCTATGATGATATGAGTTATAAAACATGTCTTGTTTCTAGAAAGGGAAAATTTTGTTCAGTGCATGAAATGTCCTTTCAGATGGCAAAAGTCAGTATACTAGAAATTTGTAGTCATGTATTAGTTTTATTATTCCTTTCTTCAGAAATAGATTTTTCTCTTTACCCACATTTGAATTTAAAAGAATTGTTTATTACAAAGAGGACCACAAATACATTCTAAACCTTATATTTTTAGGTACACATTTTAACCAGTGAATTGGGGATAATAAATTGCCGTTTTTTTGCCAGGGAAAAACAACAACATATTTTTCAGTCTTCAAATATAATTACATGTGCTCTGAGATGTTACCATGGCTCCATTTTTAATAAACAGCAATCATATTTCCTCTACAAAAATCAATTCTAGGAAATATCGATTCTTTCCTTGCCTCACTCCTCTCCCTCCCCCAGTATTTTTCTGCCTCTTAGAATGTTTTTTTAACTTTGCTAGTATGATAATTTTTTAAAGCTCTTAATAAGCTTTAAGCATCTTCAAAAACCACGCTTTAGTAATCATAAATATTTATGACCGAATTTAAATTTTACACTCCAAAGTGTTTTCATTTGAAGGGAGATAGTATGACATAGTGGAAAAAATACGGACTTTGGAGTGAGACAGGCTTGAGTTCAGATTCTAGTTCTGCCCCTCTTGTTATGTGTCCCTGAGCAAGTTATTTAACCTTTCTGAATATTAATTTCATTATTGTAAATGGGATAATAATGTACCCAGGAAGAGTGCATTTAAATTAGGTAATCAGTATGATTGGTATGAAATGCCTAGCCCTTTCTGGCCCACAGTAGATTCTTAAAAATATACACACACATGTTGTAGAGAGAACTAGACTTTTAGTTTCCAGGAAAATATAAAACACCACAAGGCATCTCTCATCCCCTGAGATAAGGGTGTTTGGTCATCTCACATGTTATTCCTTCTCCTTGGAGAACTGCTTCCCTGCCCATCTGCCAGCCTTACTCCTATATCTTGGCTTATATGTCTCTTTCTCCAGGAAGCATTCCTAATTGGATTAAGTTTGTTTAGGTATCTCTCCAAATGTTCTCCTGACACACTATAATTTATTACTTACTATACTGTATTATCACTGCCACATTATCTATATCCTCCAGTGGACTGTAGACTCTGTAGGGTAGACACACATAGATCCTCTTAACCATTGTTATCCTTAGCACCTAACATAATGCCAACAAGTAGTCAAAAATTAATTAATATTTGTTGAGCAGATGAACAAATGAACAAATGAATGGTGTTAAGCACTTAGGTATGATCATTTGGTAATTTAAAAGTTTATATTTGATTAGCTTAAGTTTGTAGCAAGATAGTACTTTAGAAGTTCCTTTGTTAACCAGTTCCTTTGAACTGGTTAACATTTTCTCATAGAATGTGTTTAAGGTCACATTTGAGAACTTGTGTAAGTAATTTTCTTGGGTAGAAAAGTGTATAAAATACAAGTCTATTTTAGCAAAAGTAGATATATAAATATTTAAATACATTACTAAACCGGGTGTGGTGGCTCAAGCGTGTAATCCCAACATTTTGGTAGGCCGAGTTGGGAGGATTACTTGAGCCCAGGAGTTCCAGACCAGCCTAGGCAACATAGTGAGACCCTGTCTCTACAAAAAATATAAAATTAGCTGGATGTGGTAGTGCCCGCCTGTAGTCCCAACTACTTGTGAGGCTGAAGTGGGAGAATCGCTTGAACCTGGGAGATCAAGGCTGCAGTGAGCCATGATTGCACCACTGTACTCCAGCCTAGATGACAATGAGACCCTGTCTCCAATATATATATGTATATACACACACAGTATTTTGAGATAGCATTTAAAAAATCAGCCTAAATATCTTTGAAGTTGTTACTGGTAGTACTTAATTCTTGGTAAATCAGACATTTAATATTTTCTACATTGTTTTTGATTATATTGTTTAGTGTCATTTTATGACTTTTTGCATATGAAGTGTGTATGACAGGATAGAATTGAATTTGAATGGTTCTCCCAGTTATCAAGATAAACATTTTACTCATGAATTCCTCCTCCTTCTCTGAAAAACAACAACATATTTTTCAGTCTTCAAATGTAATTACATGTGCTCTGAGATGTTACCATGGCTCCATTTTTAATAAACAGCAATCATATTT